CCTTTGCGAGTCTGTGGTCTCATGTTAACATGGAGAATTAGTTTAAGATAAAACCTTTCCGTAAGGAAAAGGCCCACTGGAACCTGCACAGACTGGACTTCATCAAGTCCTGCTCACACGCCCAACTGCAGGCAAGCACAGAACCCACCAGCATCTGTCACCCCCAGATGTTCAGCAATTGCCAGCTTGTAGGAGCCCTTAGAGATCTCTGACTTCTCTTCCGGCCAGACCCAGGAAAACCTGCAGCTTTGATCAACTCTAGACCACAATGGGTGACCAGGATCCATGCTCCCATCTTTCTGAATTCTGTGGTCTGAATTCTTTGGTATAATTTTAGATCCTCTCACCTCTCATTCCTCAGAATCATCTTCAGCACCTTCCTCCAGAAGAGTCAGACTGTTCTGAAGCAGGTCCTCACTCCTCTGATATGTACTGGGCTCCTACTGTGCATACTTCCTATCTGCCGTCTTGAAACCACCTTACATGTGACTTTGTGTATGTATTATGGTGCCATGTGGGACAGAGGCTGGCATTCTCCACCTTCTCTCTGCTTTGTATTTTGAGACAGGGTCTCACTATGTAGCCCTGGCTATCCTAGAACTCACCGCGCAGACCAGGCAGACCAGGCTGGCCTCTGCCTCCCGAATGCTGGAATCAGGTGTCCACCACCATGCCCCACTTTCTGCCTCATTTCTAGGTACAGAGTCTCTTACTGAGGTTAGGCTTTAAGGGGCTTTTACTTTATGTGTACAGCTGCTTTGCCTACACTACATTCACACAGTGCTCACAGATGCCATCTCTCTGGAGATGAAGTTATGGACAGTTGTTAGTGGTCACTTGTGTGCTGAGAACCGAAACAAGCCCTCTTAACCACTGAGCCATTGCTCTAGGCCCTCCCTAGCCCACTTCTGTCATTATGCCTATCTTTATAGACTTTTCTCATAAAGAACTCCTACTCCCAATCCATGCAGCTACCTCCCTTACGTCATCTCCAAACGGTCCATAATCTCCTCAAATAATGGCTCAACTCTTGTAGACGACTGCTGCCTGGCTTGAACTACCAGTGCTCATCCAGTCACTCCACTCAAATCTACGTAACAATCCCTCTCACACAGCTCCTGGGAGCCTGGACCTATCACCCCTCAGACGTGCACAGCTGACAACAAGCCAGCGCTGTTGCTTCCTCACGCCCCAGTGGAGAGTCCAGTCTTGTCAGATGGTGGCCTCTTAAGCCAGGCTCTTGTTTACATTAAGTGCCCTTCCTGCGGGCACTCTTTGCTCACGCAACTTCACCCTCCTGTTAGACAAAACAAAGCATCCTCAATTCTAAAAATGCACATAGACTTCACAGACATGTGCTTTTAACAAGGGTGGCATTAAGAACTAAATAAAAATTCTCAATTCCATCCAGTCAGACCACCTATCTGTCCTGACATGTCCTCTTGGCAAGAAAAATGTAAAAGGCAAAAAAAAATAAATAAATAAATAAAAAATAAAAGTAAAATCCCACCATTTAACAATCAGTCCTTGACTACCTGGAGCCTCAACTGTGATGGTCTAAACTGCCTGAAGCCTAACTCCTCACGACCCTTGGTGCCTCATCCCAGATAGCCAGTCACAAGAAAGAATTTTCCACTTAATAAATATAGAGGCAGCAGAATGAGGAGCGCAAGCCCATCCCTAGCTACATAAAGTCTGAGGCCAGCCTAACATACATGACAGCCTACCTCAAAATCCTTTGCTAACTCTCAATAAGATAGTAAAATATCCACTTATTCATCTGGATATGGACACCACCCAAAGTTAACTGCTATAGAAGAATTCTAATTCCCTATCAGGAGGGATTCCTCTAAGAACTTGTCTATTCGTTTCTGTTTTTGCAGATTTTATTGAATAAATCTGTGCCTGTTCTGGGCTGAACTTTATCCGCACACTTCTGGCCTACTATCCTTCCTCAGCACAGCAAGAAAGTCTACAGAGCACACAGTACAAGAGGTTTGTACAAGGGTATACTAAAGAAACAAATGCGGAGTGGGTTGGGTAGCCACTAGCTTTCAACCTGTAGGTCATGACCTCTTTGGGGTCGAATATCAGGTAGCCACATTAGGACACACAAAGAGTAGCAAATTTACAGTTACGAAGTAGCAATGAAAAATTTTATGGTTGGGGGTCACCATGAGGAACTGTATGAAAGGGTCAAAGCATTAGGAAGGTTGAGAACCACTGTGCTAGAGAATCACAAGCCACCTAGAAGGCTGGGGAGACAGCTAGGCTTGCATGGTACAAGCCTGGAGACCTGAGTTAGATCCCTGGAACCCGCGCAAACGTGGAAGGGTGGCAGCAACTTCAAAACGCTGTCCTCCACACATGCACAGTGACAAGCACCCAACGCTCCCAATAATAATTTTTCTAAAGCTCGAGCTTTACACGTGAGCTTGAATTTTTAATATAAAACTACAAACAAACCAATCAAGAGAGACAGATGCTAACTTGAAAACTGTTAATCTCAAAACTTGAAACTGTAGTTTAAATAAAGAAATGGTCAGCTCGCTTACTCAGTAGTTCACCCAGCATCTAGCCCTAAGAGCGGAACACATAACATTCTGTTAGAAAGCTCAGTGCATAACATGATTTATGGAAGAAAGCAGCCTAAACATCCACCCGCACCCGCCACCTTTAACACTAACAGTTGCCTATCACATAGAATGCAATTACTCTGCAAGCAGAGCCACGCTACAATCACGACAGCTGTTATCACTTCTTCAAATGATGCAATCCCAGGCAACGTTAGCCCACATATTCCTAGCAAGGTTAGCTGCAGATGCCCATCAAAAAGTGTAGTTACCCATGTCAGCTTTCAGCCTTATTAACCCACACAGTATCACTCACTATCCCAAACTCTTTTAAATTGTTTCAACTATAAAATGTGCATTTGTGAAAACAACAACAAGCCTTGGAAACACAGAGAAAATGAAGATCACAATCCTGTATTCCCACTTTAGACTCAAATCTTTAGCACCTTTTCACACATATACACATTATATTTTCTTACCAAGTTTGGGAACACAGAAAATAAACTCCTTGTAACTTTTATGGATTCTACCATAAGCCAAAAATTGTAATTCTCCCAACATCAAAGAATTACAAAGACATTCTCTAAAAAAAATCAGATTATCAATGCATGCATGTGTTTTACTTGCGCATATGTATTGTGTATACCATGTGCATGCCTGGTGCCAAGTTCAGAAGAGGGAGTCAGATACCTTCCCCAAACTGGAGTTTTGGACAGTTGCGAACCATCATGTGGGTTCTGGGATTGCAGTAAATGCTAAGAGCTTATCAACTATACAACCAACCTATGTATTCTCTTATGTACTCCTGCAACGTTTAAAAAGACTGACTTTGTATTACATTCACGTGGTGTAGAAGGAAAGATCTCAAATCTTGACTTTCAAAATGAAGATAAATGTGTCTCTGTAAAAAATTAATCCTCAAATCTGATTGTTCAGATGAAATTGGAAATCACCGCATCTATTAAAGAGTTGTTTCAAAAAAGCAGAAAACACCAGCAAACACTTCGCAAGCACATTTCTTTTCTTAAAATTAAATATAATCGTGTGGAGGGCTAGAGAGATGGCTCAACGAGCCTATTGCTCTAACAGAGGATGCAGGTTTAGCTTCCAGCATCCACTTCCAGTTGCTCACAATGGCCTTTAACCCCAACTTCAAGTATCAGGCACCCTCTTCTAGACTGGGCAGACAGCTTCGGACACCTAATTATAAATAAAACAAATCTTTAAAAAAAATTTTTTAAAAGCAAACAACTAGAATGTGGCACAAACATCGAATTTCACTTTAAATCACAGATATAGCGACTAGAAGTGAATACCGAGCCAGCACTCACATCTTAACTCTTCCACAGTTCAAACCACAGCGACGACTTGGTAACAATGTACCAGGAACTTTACTTCGATGAAGAAGGAAGTACTGTGAACACGGTTTGCGCTGGGTGCAAGAATTGCTGACAAGAACACGGACACGCAGGGGGTGAGAATTTCCTTATATTCAGAAGCAGCAAGAGATCAAAGAGGAGGGACTCTTGGATTTCCCCCTTTCGTTCTCAAAGATAAATCCGGGGAAATTCTTGAAAAGAATAATTCTCTACAGAAAATGTCATGGGCGAGCATGCAAAGGAGAAAGTTTAAGTTTGGAAATTGCTCCCTGCGTAGATCCAGGTACCTGAGATCATAAAACTGGAATTTAAACAGTGGGCTCTACCTCCAGAATCAGAAAAGAAGGGAGGAGGAAAAAAAAAAAAACCCACAGGTCAAAGTCAGAGGCAAGGAAAAAAACAAAACAGAACAACAACAAAACCCCCACACAGTTCCAAGAACGAATTGGGCCGAAAACCGGTAGGGATTCAGATTTGGGCTAAGGAGATTCACTTGCATGAAAAAGCAGAATAGTATAAGTAGAAATGAGGGATTCCAGTGCCCCAGGGTGGAGGGGCTAAGAGAAAGAGAAACAGAAAGAGTTCGGGGACAGAAGGGGAGTCAGACACCAGCAAGCTGGGCGGGAGTGTAAAGGGGAACCTGGGGATGGAGAGGAGGACCGAGGCCGAGACCGCAAAGGACCCGGGGACAGAAGACAGCGAGGCCCGGGTCACAAACCGGGACCCAGTGTGGGGGAGGGAATCGAGGCCGGGGGTGCAAAGGACAGGAGGATTGGGGAAGAGTTGAGACCGGGGGAGCAAGTCAGGACCCGGTAACAGGGGAGAACCAAGGCCGGGGTCAAAGAGGGGCCCGGGGATAAGGAGGGAAAGCCGAGGCCCGGGCTCAGTGCTGAGACCTGGAACTGGCGGAGTGCCGAGGCTGGGACGCAAAGTGGGACTCGGGAATGCGGAGGGGGAACCGAGCTGGGCCGAGGAGGGGGAGGGAGGACCCAGGTCGGGGCCGCGGGTAGGCTGAGGGCAAGCGGAGGCGGAGGTGAGCCGCCGGTACCTGCAGAGATCGTCCAGGACGCTGCCGGGAATCTCCAGGCGTTTGGTCTCCATGATGAGGACCCGCAGCAGGCGCAGCGCATCCCGGCTCCGCGCAGCCTGCACGGTAGAGCGGCACGCAGACCCGGGCCCGCGGACACTGGAACCCTCTGCCCGGACCCCGAGGCTGGGCCGAGGCGAGGGGCGGAACCCTGGGGCCACGCCCCCTCCGCGGGAACGACCCAGTGGGAAACTGGGGAACGCGCGCCTGCGCGCGCCTCACCAATGAGACGTTTGTTTATTGGTCCGTGGGCTCCAATCAGACTTCAGGCTGCTCAGTTCCTGCTCAGAAGACCAACTTCCCGCCGCCTTTGACTGAGCGCACGCGGGCGTGTTTGCGCCTGCGTGTCCTGGGCGCCTTCTACTATGCTTCGGGAAGTTTCGAGTTCCTGTTCTCGAACACCTCAGCTCCACGTACAAGCCCCAGCAGCTTGTGTTTGGTCACTATGGCTCCAACCTTACTGGAACCGACTGAACAGGCACTCGTTTCTATGGCGACGAAGCCTAGAGCACCCATTAAGCAAGTGATTTCCCCGCGATTGCGGTCACCAAGTATTCTGCTCTCCACCGGTTTCATTACTTCTAGGCCAAATGCCGTGCCCCTCATTTGTTCTCCAAGTGCCCCTTTCTTGTGATGCTTTACTTTTGCTTCATCGATGGAACATTTTCTCATCCTTCAGAGGCAAGAAAGAATATATTTTTAAAGTTTTCCATTTTTAAAGTTTTCCCTTTCTTACTCTATTATCCCTTTCAGCTGCCTTTGGTATTAAATTGGTTTCCGGTTACCATATTAGTTATCTTGATTATATACTCACACACGTAAGAGTAAAGTCAGAGCCTAGTGCTATAAAAGCTCATAGCACAAGTGAATTGTTTTCTAACAGTGTGATCTAGATAGTACTTGACTTTGTTGTGTGTTTGTGTGTGCGCGCGTGCGTGCATTTTCAGATAAATTTTATTGAGAATTTTACTAATGTCTATACTGTATTCCGGCCAAATCCACCTCCCATTCTGTCTCTTCCAAATTTCCCCTCTTCATTTCCTTTCCAACTTCTCTGGTCCCCTTTCGCCCCCATACATCCACTGAGTCCAGTTAATGCTGCCTATGGGCACGAACTGGAGCGTGTGTATTCTTTTCGGGGCGGCATCCCGGAAGAAAACTTACTCTCCCCCCCTTCTACAGCCCTACATTGTCAATGGCTTCTTAGCTAGGGGTAGGATTTTCTAACCCCCTACCCAAGCTGTGATTTCAGCCAACTCTATCTTGCACAGGTCTTGTGAATTAAGTCATAGTCACAGCGAGTCCACGTGTCCAATTTCCCTGATATATCCAGAAAATAATTGTTTCACTACAGACAGTCACTACTTACAGCTCTTCCTGACCCTTGATTTTTGGTTTTTAGGCCTTATTGGTAAGCATGAGCGAATAGTTAAGGATCATAGAAATCTAGTACAACAGATGGGAACCTACTTAACAGCAAAATGGAACCTAGAGCAATCGTGGAGCAGGAAAAAGATTTTCAAAGCATATCATTCATTCCTTCTGACTGAACAAATAAAGGAGGGGAAGATGGACAGGAATAGTTCGTTCCCTGTATTCAGTCCTCTCATAGGACCTCACCAGTCTTAGATGTCATAAGAAGAAGCAGGCCTTGGGAAAGGAGTTGAGTTCAGGCAGCGGGATGGAAGCAAGCCTAGGAATCAGGTAACAGAACAAGGAGGCAAGTGAAGGATGCTAACTCAGGCATGAGAGGTTGATCATCCAGAAAAGGATGAAGGTGCCTAGAATTTAATCTTTTTACTGAGAAACTCTGGAAAGCAGTGTAAACTCAGAGTTTTTCTATTGAAGAGGGCTCTAGGGGTCTGAATGAAAATGGCCTCCTCCATAGGCTCATATATTTTAATGCTCGGTCCTCTTTGGGAAGGATCAGTGGCCTTGGTGGAACAGGTATCTCAATGGAGATGGACTTTGAACTTTCAAAAGTTCTCACTATTCCCAGTTCGATCTCTCTCTCTCTCTCTCTCTCTCTCTCTCTCTCTGCATTGTGGTGGTTGTCTCAACATGTAAACTCTGCTTCCTGCCTGCTGCCATGCACCAGGATGATCATGGATTTGCCCTCTGAAACTGTAAGTCCAATACACATTCTTCCATAAGTAGCCTTGGTCACAGTGTCTCTTCACGGAAATAGAAAAGTAATTAGGACGTGGAATTTTATATACAAAAGTGCATCATCAGTCATCAGTAGAGGGCTGCTCCTAGACCTATGACCTGCCTGCCACATAGCAAGGTGCGCTCTGGTGGCCAAAAAGAGCCCCCGGCAAAGGAATGCAGGTGCTACCATTAGGAAATCCGATCAGTAGAGCATAGAGATGGTAAAGATCGAGGTGACATCCCTCAGCTGTGCTGTTTTCCTGTATGCACATTCTATTTGTCCTGACTGTCATTGCAAGGACTAAGGAAGAACCTTCGCGGTTTTTTTTCTTAGTTATTCTATTTTAGACTTCAAGTCTAGTTTTAGAGCACCCTAAATCATGGCAGTGAACAGGAGTATAACGCCAAATGATGTTGATCCTTGTGGACCAGTGGTGTAGGAACAAAGAACCTAGCACCCCATGCTGGAACAGTGAACAAGAAGTCTTCCTCCAGTATTTTTGTAGCATATCATTTTAGGTGCAGATGCACAACACCTTTGGGGCTCCTAGGGCCTAGGAAGACCCTAACTCTCACATAGTGCGAATCTTATCTTCCTCAATAAAGTCTTCAGAATGTTTGTTCTCACACATCTTGGTAGGCATTTTTCTGTCTATTTACATATGTGCTCTGCCTTCTCACTCACAGGTCTCTCAGAGCTAGACTGGTGCATAGTAGACAACACTCTGAGCTAAAAATGTCAAGAACTCAAAGCCTTACTCTGTTCTTTATGGCACTTGGATTGACAAATACAAATGGACTGAAGCATGGTGCTGAGAGAACTGAGAGAAAAGGGGATGCTGGAATTCTTAAATTCTAATACTAATTTGTTTTTATTTAATTTGGCTGGTGAAAACCTTTACAGTTTTAAAATTCACTATTTAATTTAATCTTTATAACTACAAGAGTAGGTGGATCAGAAGTAAGCTTGTAAAAATTAAAAGACGTATAAACATGAAGTGGATAGGGGCACCTGTTACTCTTGCAGTAGGACCGCAGTTTGTTCCCAGACAGATGTTGGACAGTCCACAACTTCCTGTAACTGCAGCTCTAGGCAATCTGAGTGCCTCTTTTGGCCTCTGCAGGCACCTTCCCACACATGTGCATGCATGCACGTATGCACACACGCACGCATGCATGCACATACACAAATAAATAAAAAGTAATTAGGTGCTAAGTGACATATTTTAAAGTTTGACAAGATCTTGTTTTGTTGTGAGTTATATTTTAAAAGAATATTTTGCTATAAGTTACTGTACAGGCATTAATAATTATCATGTGTCATTCCCCCTATAAAAGAATTCCTGCTGCAAATTTAGGAACACTGAATTTCCTATATAGTTACCAGTCTCTCACCGTCTCCCTGAGGGCATTTCTGTAACAACCATTAATATCTCCTAAGAGGCCACCTTCTTAAAGGTTCCCCTGTTTCCTAGTAGTGCCATTCTGGAGATCAAGTCTTTAGCAGATGGCTTTTAAAGAGTCACTCCATATTAGAACTATAACATAAAAGTAGCATATACATTGTAAAAATACCAGGCTGAGGGTGTATATGGCTCTGTTGTAGAATGTTTGCCTAGTACTGAAAGTTCCTGGTGTTGATTCTTAGAATGCAATACAGTAAAATGTAAAATAAATACCCGTGTTAAATAAAGGCATATGTATAAACATGATTGCGTAAAACAAATGTACGACTGTAGACTCTCTCATGTTCGTTCATCTGCCCCTTCTTCCTCTTATCCCTCTTAACCCCAGGCACTGGTGTGTGCTCAGAATGAAAGCAGTCAATTGGGCACATGCAAAAGCAGGAAAATGCTTAGCTACTCGTAAAACAAAGACAAAACAAAAAAATTCTTTTATGTGAAGGAAAAAAAATCAGGAAAATTAGATTTAAGGACTTTTTAAAGTGACAATGCCATTTATTTCAATTTTTTAAACAAGAAAACAAACTATCTTTTTTCATTTTACATACCAATTCCAGTTCCCACTCCTTTCCCTCCTATCCCCCTTCCCCATCCACTCCTCAGAGTGAGTAAGGCACACTGCTTTGGGGATGGCCCAAGGCCCTCCCTACTATGTCTAGGCTGAGCAAGGTATCCATTCAAAGAGAATGGTTCCCAAAATGCCAGCACAAGCAGTAGGAATAATTCTACTGTCACCTACATTCAGAGGGTCTAGTTTGGACCAATGCTGGTTCCTTCCCTGTCCAGCTGGAATTGGTGAACTCCCATTAGCTCAGGTAGACTGTTTCAGTGGGTGTCCCCTCCATGGTCTTGACCTCTTTGCTCATATTCTCACTCTTCTCACTCTAGACTTTGGTAGCTCAGCCCAGTGCTCTGCTGCAGGTCTTTGCCTCTGTTGCTGGATGAAGGTTTTATGATGATATTTAAGATATTCATCAGTCTGGCTACAGGGCAAGGCCAGTTCGGGTACCCTCTCCTCAGTTGCTTAGGGTCTTAGCTGGGGTCATCCTTTTGGATTCCTGGGAATTTTTCCAGTGCCAGGTTTCTTGCTAGCACTGTAATGGCTTTCTCAATCAAAATAACTCTTTCCTTGCTCTCCATTTTTGTCCTACCTCCATCTGTACTATCCCGTTCCCTCAAATACTCCTCCCCCTTCCCCTTCTCCCCTCCTCTCCTTTTTCCCCTTCCACCCTTCCTTCTCCCCCCACCTCCATGCTCCAAATTTTGTCAGGAGATCTTGTCTATTTCCCCTTCCCTGGGGGATCTATATATGTTTCTCTTAGGGTTCACCTCGTTACTTATCACACTTGGTCATATACCCAAAGGATGCTCAATCATACTACAAGGACATTTGCTCAACCATGTTCATAGCAGCATTATTTGTGATAGCCAGAACCTGGAAACAACCTATATGCCCCTCACCCAAAGAGTGGATACAGAAAATGTGGTCCATTTACACAATGAAGTACTACTCAGCGGTAAAAAACAATGTCATCTTGAAATTTACAT